AATAAAACCACAGAAAGCATCAGCATCAGAAGTAACATCATGCGCTTAAAATTAATAAATATGTTCCCACCGGTCTTGCACCCCAAAAAATAGAAAAGACACCGAAAACGGGGGTTTAAATAGTGATCTTCTTGGATGGAGGTAGGATGTCTGGGTTTTTTTCTGACCGTGCTCATTTGAGCGTGTCACTGCCACTGCACTCGTCCACAGTCTCAAACAAATAACACTTGTTGAACGAGGAACCAGAGAAGTGAACACTGACTATAGGCATTGAACAAAGCTGTTAAGTTTTAAATAAAGCTAATAGAAAGTTTTACCAAGGTTTTACCGTGGCCCCAAAAAGTACTTGAAAATTTTAAGTTGAAACTGATCATTTTATTCAGCAAGGTCACATTAAATTGATAAAAAGTGACAGTAAAGACGTAATGTTAAATGCTGATAAGCATATAAATGCTGTTTCCATGAATCCCGGAAAAAAAATGTTGGTTTCCATGTTTGAAACATCCCAATTACAATTGATACAGACGATGCTAAAAATTCAGCTTTGCAGGTATAGTATTTCAGTTATAACTTAAAATATTGTATATTATAATATGCAAGACATTTTAATTTATACTCTAAGTTGTATTCAGTTGTATTCATGTATTAGAATGACTTCATTTAGCAAATTGATATTTTTTATCGAATGTAATGACATTTAGACTTCTTAAAGGGTCTAAAAACTTTTGGGGGCCATTGTACAACAAAATAGTTCTCATGATACATCACAGTAAATCCTTTATTTGGGAATGTCACACCTATGTCACTGATGTCTAATCTCTGGAGGAGGAGAATTCCCAGGAAGCTTGTGGACCCCAGCTTTTACATGAGGCAACTGAGTATTTCCTTACATTTGGGATCCCCCGTTGGCTCACATGACATTTAAGAGCGATCTATTTCCAGAACAACCAGGGAAATCTCAGAAAAGGCTTTTAACATGTTCAGAGGACTCATTCTGGATTAAAGTCATCACACAAAAGAATCAATTAACACACGCGTTATGAGATCTTAAAGGGGCTATTATATAGAATTCAGAAATTGTGCTCACACAACGTACAAAGAGCTAAACATGATTCAAGGACCCCGATCAAAGTGGTTTTTCGTTCTTAGCTAAGAAGAAAAAAGAAGCTGAAAATACCATTTCAGTGATAAACCGTTAATGAACATCCTGACGCCAGCAATGTTACAATGAATGTCAATATGTGCTGCGCACTTTTCTATCAATTACAAAATAAACACAATAATGACAGCGGTGAAAACAGAAGTTAAGAAAGTTAAAGGTAAAGATTAACCCCTTTTCTCAGCATGACACATTGACATAACACACAATAGTTCTTTCAGCATTATCCTGAACATTGTTTAAGTATTTATTTCACGCGTCATTGAACGGAAGAGAGGCTCTAGGGAGCGTGCATCAATGTCACATCCTTTGGATTTTCCCGGCAAAAACGTCCCGAATCCAATGGGGGTGGTGATGGCGCAGTGGATAAGACACATGCCTTTAGTGTGAGAGATCCAGGTTCAAATCCACTGCGAGACACCAATGAGTCCCTGAGCAAGACACTTAATCCCCTAGTTGCTCCAGAGGCATGCGACCTCTGACATATATAGCAATTGTAAATCGCTTTGGATAAAAGCGTCAGCTAAATGAAATGAATCCTTCACACAAAGCAGTCTACAGGCTTAATATAGACAACCTAAATCGGGGAAGGTCTCGTTTTTTAAAGTTTCGTTACAAGCCGTTCACACATTGGCAATAAAACGTGATTGAAGGTATGGTAGGCAATTGTGGAGAGGCTAGCGATAGCGAGCTAGCTTTGAAAGCATAAGATCCCACCCTCCGTTCAGAGCGTCTCCAAAGACACGACTCCTTGACAGCAGTCTTCAAACCGCCACGACATGAGAGACATCATTAAACTACTTCATGTCTCAAAGCACATAACATTAAAATAATAATGAACTTAACTTATCGAGCTCTAGTTGTACCACCTGACTGCTGCAGGTTCATTTCAGCATTGAGGACTGAATGCAATAATTAGACGTACATTTTTGTTTTAATATTTCCATCACTTCTATTATTGATTGCTATCAGGATGTGAAAAGAGTTTTTAACCAGTGTAACCTAAAGGGTTTATAAAACAAATTGCCTAACCTATAGCCTGACTTTGTCATATTCATATTCCAGTCAGAATGTGAGTCTGACACTGCTCCATAGGGCTTTGACTATGAGGTGTGTCTTAACCGAACCAGGAAAAAAACCCTCCCCACTGCGCAATGTGACGTTAGAGTGACGTCTTTTCTATGTAATTTTTGTACGTCCAATTTCAGTCCACTGAAGGGGTTGTTTTGTAACGCCAGGCGACGTTTTTTGCACGTCTAATATTGACGTCGGTGGGACCAAATGTGGTCGTTTGTGGACGTCTTTTCAACATCAAATTTAGTATCTTCTATAACTTCTATAACTGTAGTCCCATGTTTCAAAAAGGTAGAGGACATTTTTAAAGGATGTTATCTGTACCGTGTATTTATATTTATGCATTTGACACATGCTTTTGTCCACAGTGACTTACATTGCACTTTTACATTCCTGCTTTCCCTGGGAATCAAACCCTTGATCTAAACATTGCACTAGCTGGCTGTTTCACAAGTGCCAACGCTCTACTGTTTGAGCTACAGCATTAGACCTTTGAATGTGTCAATTACCACTTTCTGCTTGAGACAATCAAATGCAGTTTTTGAAAAACTATCTTAAATAATTATAAATAATCTGTATTCGTATGTATTAATCATGTTGATAACAACAATGTTGATATTTGTAAATAAAAAAAACATTGCATATTAATCATGTAAATTTCCTGCACCTGTAATAGACGTCCAAATGAGGTCCAAAAAAATGACCCAGTTCAACGGTCAAATGTTGAACGTCAATATGACGTCCAAATTGGGTCATTGTTGGACGGCCAAATAGTGGACCTAGTTTGGACGTCGAATAAATGTCCAGAATTGGTCATGGACCAATGGACCCAATATAGACATTATATCTGCACGTCTATCCGACGTCCAGTGTTTAGTGGGTCTGCACTCAATTGGATAGACCTACAACCATTTAGAGCAGCGCAACAAGTCAGCTAAATAGTTGCATTAGCATAATTGTTAACAGAACTCAACTGCACGCACACTCGAAGAAGTAAAATAATGAGTGTTGATTCTTTTACTTGGTCCTCCATGAGTGTGAGTGCAACCAAAGGAGAAACAACGACCACGGGGTTTTCATTGCGTCCCATCTTCTTAACGACCATCGTAGCCAGCTGATAAATTAAACTTTTGCAGAATCCCGTAGGAAGAATCCTGCGCTGTCGATTTCTTTTACAACAAACACTATAGTGGAATCTAAATGGCTACATCTCAATTCTCTAGCTGCAGTCATCTTTGAAGGAAACCAGTTTAACCCAAGCGCTCTTTGATAACGTTGTGATTTCATAACTGCAGATCATCTGTCCATCATCTTATAAAGCCTGCCCTGGCAATTTGATTGGCCCGACCATTTCTAAACTGATCATAATAAAGCATCAAAGTCCCGCCCACAGCCTAAGAGAGCGCTGGTGCCGGAAGTAAATTTCCCATTCACTTCTCCCATTGACATTTTGTAAAATCCATATCTAAAGAGTATTAGAGCATGTCTGAGGATAACCAGCTACGGCTGAACTCATAAGCACACAACATATCATTTCGAGTGAAAAAACGAAAAAAAAAAAAAAAAAAGTCAAAGGTACAAGCCTGTGTACATATTTTCAATTCCGAGCAAAGGAACTACTCCTCCCATGAACCACCGCACCTCACTGAAGTCGACTGAAGCCACCGTGAAAGAGCCTTTTGAGTGACTTCCAAATCTGAACTTTTTCCTCCAGTGAATTTTATATAGTAAATGTGAAGGAAAACTCCATTTCCTCGATTTACTGACTTATATGTAAAACGCATTTGCAGCTGCACATGCTAAAACATTGAGCATCTGGCTCTCTCATAGGCTGTGCTGCAGCAACATGGACATCCAATGGCGTCTCAGAGGTGTGACCAATGAACTTAGCCCTACGTCATTACACGATCTTCAGTCTTCACGTACCTTTGCAGGGTTTTAGACATGTTACACGACTTCCACCAATCAGATGCATCACTGTGGGATTGTTCAGGATTGTGGGTAATGAAGTACTTATCCAAGACATTGTGAATTAAAGGCATTTTTCTTAAAACAAGATTAGTGCCCCATGAACTTTTGCCATTTATATGAGCAATGAGCATATACAATCGCTTAGTACAGCCGTAGCTGGTTTTAAGTCTACCATGTATGGTTACGTTTTAATGGCTTATATCCCAACTGTCAATGGAGAAATTGTATTGAATTTTTACTTCCGGCACCGGCTGTGGGCGGTACTGTTAAGCTCTATTACTCCTCAATGGATCGAGTCCAGACCGAACTTCCCGACCAAAAAATGTTGTGGGCGGGGTTCGGCTGGCGTCCAGGCTACCTAACCTACCTAATACTTGAAAATTCATACATAAAGCCCCTTAAAGGGTTAGTTCACCCAAAAATGAAAATTCTGTCAGTATTTACTCACCCTCAAGTTGTTTCAAACCTCTATGTGTTTATTTGTTCTGCTGAACACAAAGGAAGATATTTGGAATAATGTTTTAATCAAACAGATCTCATTCCCCATTGACTACAATAGTAGGAAAAAATACATACTATGGTAGTCAATGGGGAATGAGATCTGTTTGATTAAAACATTCTTCCAAATATCTTCCTTCGTGTTCTGCAGAACAAATAAACACATAGAGGTTTGGAACAACATGAGGGTGAGTAAATACTGACAGAAATTTCATTTTTGGGTGAACTAACCCTTTAAACTCCCAATTATGCAGAAAATAAATTTGTCGTCATTTAACAAATGGAAACCAAACACAGCTGTCCTTCATGGTACAATTTATTTGGCATTTGATTAGATGTACATCTACTTCAGAGAAAAAAAAGTCCTCTGACAAAAAAAAAAAAGAAGCAGTACATGACATAAAAAAAAACAAATTCAAGAATCGACAAATCTCCCAACTGTTGCATTCTACATAAAATATTTCATGATGCTTTTTTCCTTGTTGCACCACAAAGTCTATCTAAAAGAAATTCTCTACTTTTTTTATTTAAAAAAAGTTAGCAAATGGTATGTGGAAAAAGTAATCAGAAGTGTCTCGAACCTCAGTTTGCAGACGAGCGTCTGTAAGCATAGCAGAAACGAAGAGTACAACAGCAGAAGAGACGTCCTCGCTGCATGCGCAAAAGAGTAAAACATGCAACCGTAGGTCTGTAAAACATTCATGCCAACTTTTACAATACACACGACCAATCCACACGCTTATACATACATTTAACAAGCACACACAAAATAAAAACTAATGATCACAGGATTGTCTGTGCTGATGAAACCCTGAAATGAAATGCAAAACAAACAAACTATACAGTAAAAGAAGATTTAACTGGAGGATGATAGAAACGTCTTCATGATGTCACATACTCAGTTAATTTGGTGCTGGTGATGGATCTTGAAGAAAAAGGGATCTGTGTGCCACATTAATTTGTCTTTGTATTTCATTCAGCTCAACACAGCAGGGCCGTGTGTTTTTGAAGTGCAAAAACATCTTTGCATAAAATGCCTGATTGTCATTTAGTTCGGGCTTTTTGTTGCATTTCCAGTATGAAGAAAAAGCTTTGCTCCCATTGACAAAATCCAGGAATCAGAATCGCAACTTTGTGAAAGCAGTGTTCATTTTAGTCAGCAACAATGCAGACAAAATCTAAATCTATCCTTCCATGTTCACAACTTATGCGCTTCATTAAATACATATTCCATTCACTGGATATGTCCAAATGACAATTAAGTAGTCTGTTAATTGTTAAATGATTGAAAAAAAAAAATGAAAAAAAAGTTTTGCTGTTACATACATGTACATTTATGCGCTCATGTGTGCAAATACACGCTCACATTTACTTTGTGTCAAGTAACAAACGGTTTACTTTGTGATTTACGTCGAAACATTGAGAGGAGAGCACTTAGCTTACAGATGCTGAAAATGAAAAATACAGCCATACACACACACACACACACACACAACAGACCATGAAAACAAAACTCAAATTTATCATAAGCAAGTCTAAACGTGTAAATCCAAACTCAGGATCTCAATAAGAAATATCTATTTCAAAACCATGATTTGTTTCAGCACACTTCGAGATCAGCTCGAGAGCCAAAAATAAATGAGAATATTTATTACTTGGGTAAATGTTCAGCTATTTTTTTTTTAACCGTTACATTCTAAATTCAAAATGTAAATTAGCGCCAAACTTTTCGGATCTAAAGTGGTTAAAAACAAAATTCCCGCAAATACTCATTACCACAATGAAAATAATAATAAAAATTCTTCATTACTGTAATGCCAAAAAAAAAAAAAAAAATTGAATTTTCCTACAATAATAAAAGTTACCACAAATACCACCACGACCAATACTTACAACTGCACTATATATATTTTTAATATATACGCAAGATTTTTATTTCAGCATTACAGTAATGGAAAAAAGATTTCTTTAAAAATTGTGGGCCACTGAAATATAAATGGTTCGATAAGCTTCTATGCAAAATATATTTTCAAATTTCCTTTTCGGTTTTGGTTAAAAACTGGTAATTTCTGACAAGTTTTTGTGAGATTTTTGTGAGATCTAAAAAATTTTTTTTTTCTTCATTTTGAGTTTGTGCTACTGATCTGACAAACAGAAACAAGACATCACAGAAATCCAGATAAGAACACGGAATTGCTCGCATCCAAACGGATCCTTCCCGTAGACAAGCACAGGTGCTAGGAACGCCGACGGCTGACCACACAAGAACGCTTTCTTTAGGGTCAGTTTGGACAGAGCAGTAATGAATCAAAAAACAAATAGCTTCTTTGTGCCAGGAAAGAGTCAGTGTGCAGGACATGATTCCAGTGAGAGAACGTCAGGTCGACTGAATTACACCACTAAGGCCTAAAATGTCTTTTCATCAACCGGTTCGTTCACCAAAGTGTGGTGATCGACACATGCCAGTGTAAACCTCAGATAGAGCTGCTCTATCGGCCCTCCCCAACATCAAGCCACTCGATGGCTGATGGAAGTATTTACATGTGACTCGAGCTGAAAAAACGCAGAATAAAAACCCGAAACAAGCGTCTTTTCTTTCACGTCTGAAGTCTCTGCTCTGAACAGTCCAACAGCCTCCTTGATTTAGTAGAGCGATCAGTCTGGACACGTACCCTACGACCTACACCATGGTGCTCAGCGAGGGGCCGCTGCTGCAGTCTGCGCTGGAGCTCTGCGTGATGCTGGCCTCTGATTCGCTGGGGGTGTCTGGAGAGACCAGTAAGGTGCTACTGTCAATGGAGTCCTCGCGCTCCTCCAGGGGCGGCGGGGGGGCGGGGAGCGCCGGCTCGGGGAAATCCCTCTGGAGAGAGTTGGCTGCGCCGCTCATGTGCCCAGTCGCGAGCGGAACCACGGTCCGCCCTGCGGAGAGAACAGGGAGTGAACGAAAGCTCGTCCTAGGGATCTGCATTACTGTCTGGGGTCGCTATCTAAGAGCGTTTTCACACTTGGCATGTTTGGTTGAATTAAAACAAATCCTGGTGCGATTGCTCTGTTAGTGCGGTTCAAACACTGTAAAATGCATGCAATGCTGCCTTAGAATTTGGACAAAATTAGGTATCTTAGGTGTATTCACACCAGGAAAGTCCGATAGTTCACTTGCTTTGGTCCGGACCAAATAAATTATTATTATTTTTTTTTGGTACGGTTCGCTTTCACACTGCTCTTTTTGCAAGTGAACCAAAATTTGTAAACCAAACCACACGTGTGCTAAGGTCGTCCATTCATTGGACAAGGATTCTCAAGGGAAATCAGGAAGTGCAAAAAAGGCTCAGCATGGAGATATTTCCATATATTTCATACTGCAATATTTGTTCTTTTACTAATTTTTGTGTTAATTCTGTACAAACGCAATATGAAGAAACTAATGAGTATCATATGATACAATGTCATCTATACGAAGTTGTAATTCGGATTTTGAGAAGACGACGAGTGTAACGTTTGAGTGGCTCTATAAACGCGGGGAAATACGACAACTCTCGTCTCTCGTGCATCTTTTCATTCGACCACCTTCTGCAACATCTCAACTTTGCGTTACAAGTGGCACTGCACAGAAGACGGAGAAGGTATAAAGTTTTCATTCATAGAGAGGGGCTATGTTCACTCATTCAAATAATGAGATTCTTATTGTGTACTAACAAGTGCTGTCAATGTTAACGCTTGCGATTAAGTTTGTCCAGTTTAACGTAAATTAACGCATCATCATCCTTGTATTGTAACTATCCTTACATTAATAATAATAATAATTCATTACATTTATATAGAATTTTTCTCGGCACTCGCTTTAAGGGGGAAACTCGTCAACCACCACCAAAAGGTGGTGAACTGCAAATGCTTTATGAACTGCAAATGATATTTTTTTTGCATCTTTGCGCGATTAGACATTCACACACGACGCGCAGAAAGACGCGCAATATTCTCTTTCGACGCAGTGCTTTCTTGCAATTGGGTCGGTTCATGTTCACACCGTAAACGAACCGTACCAGAGTTCGTTTGGAACCGTACCGAGACCACCTCTTCAGCTGGGTCTCGGTTCGGTTGTTTGGTCCGCACCCGAGTTCGATTGCTGTATTCACACCTGCCCAAAAGGTCCACACCAAGGGGGCAAACGAACTAGAGTTCGATTCAATCGAACCAAACAAGGCAGGTGTGAATACACCCTTAGAATGTACAATAATAATAATGCATACGACACCTATACAAAGTTGTCTAGCTAAGAAACTCACTAGGTTTTGGATGAGGGCTCATTAAATTTAGAGCTGCAACAAATAATCGATAAAATCGATTATAATCGGATATGAAAATAGTTGTCAACGAATGTCTTTATCGATTAGTTGGTCTAATTACGTCACAGGGATTGTTTACAGGTGATTGGTTGAAACAAGCCAATAATGATGCTCTCTATCTTACATGCGCATCATGAGGCAGGTCTCATGAATTTTTATCCGATTAATCGAAAAAATACTCATCCGATTAATTGATTATCAAAATAATCGTTAGTCGCAGCCATTATTAAATTAATGATAAATGAATAATACTATACAAAGAATTAAATATAGTACCGAGGTCCATGTAGAGGATGCTGTCTGGGTTGATGGAGGCCTCATATGGAGGAGGAGGGTCATCGGGATGGTGGATATCTGGGTATTTGTAGGCAGCATAAGGGGGCGGGGGCTCCTGGAAGTGGAACGCTCCACCTTCACCATCATCGGAGAGGTGCAAAGGCGTCAGGCCCGTTCCGAACACATCCGGCCCGTAGTCAAAGCCCGGGACTCTCCGACCCAGATTAAAATGATGCACTGTGAAAAACAACGATAATTCAGAAAAACAGTGCTTTAAGACGTGCATTCAATCAGCTGATCAAACAGGGCCTTACGGTTTCCTCCAATGAGGGTTTCGATGCGTTCTCGCCGCCGCTGCCTCAGTCTGTGCACCATGAAGAGCAACAGAGAGAGGATGAGGAAGGACGAGATGCAGCTCACAATGAGCCGCATGCCACTGGCCATAGAGTCAAACAGACTGCTGCCGTCTACAAACACACAAACAACACAACTGAAATCCACTTCTACACGGACACAACTTGAGATTATATCTGAGGGATGTGTGTCAAACAGACTACTAGTATACTGCTACTGCATACTGAACAGTACCGTATATACTGCCTAGAATTCATTTTCAGCGATATAAATCTGCTGATATTTGATCAGTGAAATTGTCAATGAATAATGCACTATACATTATACATAAAACTAATATTACACTGTTATTTATAGTACAATGCAACAATTATATTGGCCTACTCACTCAACCATAATTTTATGTACACTACATTGCTATTACAAGGCAGTATTATGTTGCCCGTTTAAGTCAGCATTCAGTTCACATTGCACAAATAAACACATTATCTCCTAAAGTTTTTATAAAAATGTCTAATGAAAAAATGGTATTTCCAAACACACCATGCGTTTATAGATGTACAATAAGAAGGAAGAGTAGCTCTATCTAGTGGTCAGACTAGGGAACTTCACGTCACAAAAAATGGCTGAGAACTCACATTTACAGATATATCTTCATTTTAATATATGTCTGCCCAATAATCTTTCAAATTAAAGCACATCCAACTGACATACAGTTCGCTATGTGATTGGATGAGACTGTGAAAGTACCGGGATCCAAGCAGGTGAACTTGCAACACTCTTTCGGGTCCTTGCGGAAATGCTGGCAGCCCTGCGGGCGCTCACACAGGGCGGCCACACACATCTCCGGCTCGCCGTCGTGACACGTGCAGCTCAGACACGGGTCGTCCCCTTTAGGCGTGAAGTAAAAGCCCTCATTCACCACATTGTCTTTGATATCCACACAAGTTTGTCCTGTTAAAGAAACCGGTGTATTATGTATTAGTACTAGCATGGGGGAAAAGACACCAGAATGCCTTAATTGAAGTTAAAGGAGTAGTTCACTTTTAAAAAAAACGTTTGCTGATATTTACTCACCCCCATGTCATCCAAGATGTCCATGTCTTTCTTTCTTCATTCAAAAAGAAATTAAGGTTTTTGATGAAAATATTCCAGCATTTTTCTCCATGTAAGGCACTTCACTGGGAACCAAACGGTTCAAGGTCAAAAAGACACTTTCAGTGCAAACTGTTCAAAGGGCTTTAAACGATTCCAGACGTTGAATACGGGTCTTATCAAGCGAAACGATCGCTCATTTAAAAAAATATATAACAAAGTTTTATAAGCATGAATGCTCGCCTTGCTCTGTTCTTTGATGCGCGTTCGTGACTCGAACTCGTTCATCAAAATGAATGAATCGTTTTCCGAGTCGTTTGGCTCATTCAATGAACGAAACGAACGTATTGACTCAGAGAAAGATTTCCAGTTCGAACAGGAGAGTCACGAACGTGCATCACAGTACAGAGCCAGGCGAGCATTTGAGCTAATAAAATTTAAACTTTGTTATTTTTTTATTAAAAGAGCTATCGTTTCACTTGATTCAACGTCTGGTGTCGTTTAAAGCCCTTTGAACAGTTTGCATTGAAACGGTCTTTTGGACCGTTTGGTTCCCAGTGAAGTCCATTATATGGAGAAAAATCCTGGAATGTTTTCATCAAAAACCTTAATTTCTTTTCGACTGAAGAAAGAAAGACATGGACATCTTGGATGAAATGGGGGTGAGTAAATTATCAGCAAAAGTTTTTTTTAAAGTGAACTACTCCTTTAATGGCATCAAACAGAGCTAATCTGTCTATACGGCGCTAGACGTACTTCTCTTGCAGAGGAAGGGGAATTTTTTGTAGCAGTTTTCCGCTTTCCAGCTGTGCAAGCCCTGCTCGTTCATGCTCTTGATCTGGAAGCGCTGCAGCTGGCCGCAAAACATGTTATCCTGCGTAGGGTTCGCCTCACCGAAGTTATCCAGACTCTCCGGAGGCAGAAACACCTGCATGGACCCTGTGAGGAACACACACATTCAATTCAAGTTTATTTTGTATAGCGTTTTTCACAATACATATCGTTTCAAAGCAGTCCACATTACAATTCCCAGTTAGCTAAAAATCTATTGATTCAATCACTTATGCAAAAAATGCATTTAAACAAAGTAATAATTTAAGGAATAAACAATGAGCTCATTGAAGTGATGAATACTTGTTTGTTAATGAAATGACAAATGATTATGACAGAAAATTGTAGCATTGGTGAAGATGAGGCCTCACGTCATTCAAAATCTGTGTTGTTATTGCTAACTTAAATTAGACCGAAAACCATAAAAAAAAATCTAATCATGTAATAATATTGATAAAAAAATACATATTTGATGAAAAACTTAAAATGACAACACTTTATTAAACATTAGAAATGTTGCCTTGCTACTTACTGCGGTAAAATAAAAAATGACTGAAACTAACATAAAGCAAAATATAAATAAAAAACTAAAACTAATACAAATGAAAAAAGAACATAAAATGAAAAAATAAACTGCTAAAATAAAAATAAAAGCCAATTCAAGTGATCAATAAATACTATAATAAATTATATAATTATAATATAAAACAAAATACAAAAATAATCAGAAATTAAGTCATTATTCACTGAAATCACGATCATTTGAGTCAAATCTTTTTAATAAATCAATTGATTCAGTTCACAAAATCAGTCTGAATGATTCATTCAGAAATCAAACTGAATTTCTATTCAGTCACACAATCAACAGTGACCGTTTTCACACAAATTTCAGTCTGATATCATAAAACTTCAGAAGAGAGCACTAGTAATTCTGGTGTTTTTTGTACAGCGAACAGTGAATGAGAACAGCTCCGGTTCTCATTCACTTTCATGGCCAAGATATTCATCAAAAAATACACGTTTTGTGCTCCACAGAAGAAAAGACTTGGAACGGGTTTTGAATTATTCTTCGATAAAAGTAAAATAAAAACCAACCTTTATATGCCACTTCCCAACGGCCCTCCAGTGAATGATTCTGGTTAGTAATCACATACTGATATCCCACCCAGAACCTGCGACGACAAAACAGATCCACAGCGTTGAGAACTCAAAACTGTTAAACCCCTCACCTCTTCCTTAGAAAACAGCTTCTTCATACTCACTTGCACTGGTCCTTTCGCTCGCACACCTTCTCGTCGAAGTCCACCTCGATCTTGAGGATGAACTGCAGCTCTTCATTGGTGCCGAACGTTGCGAGGGAGCCGTTGACTTTCTGACACGTTTCCACCGCCTGCCAGTAGTTCTCACTCCTCAGGTAGACTTTATAACAGCTAGCTGTTTTTTCGTAATGGTGCCAGCCAGTCGGACACTTCTCTGCGTTTAGACATTAAGATCATCATAATATGAACATCTCATTGAATTCCTCCTCTCAGGGATATGACTTGATAGATTCTGAAAGGGATTTTTTTCCCCATAAGCCTATTGTTGTGTTTTATTATTTATATACTTCCCGGCCAATCCAGCTTTTGGATTTAAATAGGTAAATGCACCTAATATTGATGGAAGTAAATGTTGTGATGTTATTTCTATAAAGAAGTGCATACATTTCAAGATCCTGTATTGTCAATGCAAGAGTCCAGCACTCTGTAAAGTCTCCTCCAGCACATCCCAAAGACTCTCAATGAATTTAAACTCTGGATTGAGAGGAGACGATTCATGTGTGAAAATGATTCTTCATGATCCTCACAATCATTCTTTCACAATCTGAGCCTGATGAATCTTGACATTGTCATCCTGGAATATGGCCATGTTGTGTCTCATACATGATTGCTTAAGAAATAAAAAACTACACACTCCATCAATTACGGTTAGAAGAACTGTTGCTACACATATAACATAATAATCACTGCAATAATAATCCAGTCATAGACTCCTAAGCATTTGCATAATTAAATAGGTGTATGTACCCACACTACTGTTAAAAAATGTAAGTTGCTAAGGTTGCTAAGACTTTTATTTTTCAGAGAAATGTGCATTTATTTGATCAAAAAGAAGTAAAATTGTTAAATATTAACATTTTCTGTTTGAATTTATTTTAAAGGGACACCATGCAGGAATTCCATTTTTGTCAAACAGCAACCCCTAGAGTCGCTGTGGAGTACTTGAATTTAACGTTACTGTCGTAAATACCACTCGTGTTACATACTATATACACCAGTATTGTAGGTGCCAGGTTTAGGTTGGTGTCTTTTATTTTGAAATTTGTTTTTTCAGTTTGTTACGTCATTTGTTGTAGGTGCATATTACCTGTTAGTTTGTGTGTGGTTAGCAGGTTGGAAGGGGGTGAGTAGCTGGGACGCTCACTTTCTGTTGACCGTTTTCATTTCATTTTAGTTTTGTTCTATTTCATTACTTTTGGTTTACTTTTTAGTCATCATCCATCATGTTCATTTCAATGTTACAATAAATCATTTGGATCTGCAGTGGAAACGCGTCACCTTTTATTCCCTCTACTCAGCCTCTTAGCGGTTACTGTTTGCCGCTACAAGTATATTTTGTTTGATTTGTCGTTTAATGAGATCTATGTTGTTAGTGGTGAGAATTTTCACACGATTATATACATAGATCCCCATGAACTTTAATGGTCCAGTGGCAGAACTTTTGCCAAGCGTGCCAGAGATTCTGGGTTCTAATCCGTAATAGTATAGTTTATTTTCCTCATCAAAACCGATTGTTTATTAGTGGTTTTATATCAAGCGAGACACGTTTTTTGTGCAATAGGTTTTGTGATTTCATCGTAACAAATATAGAGAGTCTCTCATGTCACAACAGAAGACGGGGTGAGACGGCCACCATTCAACCCGAAAGAAGTCATATAACCATTTTAATAACCCTGAAGCTGTTCAGTTAAGCTAAAAAACCTGCATAGAATCCCTTTAAAATCTAATTTATTCCTGATCAAAACTAAATTTTATGCATCATTACACTTCAGTCTCGATTTTAATGTTGTGGTGTGTTATGTGTCTGACTTAGTAATGCATTCCCAGTATAAAGAGCGTTTCAAAAGTGAATTGACGAGGGATCAGGAAGGATCTTACTGTTGAAGCGCACTGGCTGAGCGACACCCATGACGTCCTCCACCGGCTCGAAACCGTTGCTGTTACGATACCGTTCCTCCTTTATTGCTGTAAGAGTGTGACAAGGAATATCATCAGAATGCTTTATGATGAATTCATATATGACCAGGCTGAAGCATAAATCATCTGTGAAAATGATCGTTTATACATTTACATCTGGAACAATAACTTTCAACAAGATGCTACAGGGTAGGTCACCGGATCTTTTCAATGGATCAATCAATCCAGTTGTTACGTCTGAGGGTGTAAGTTTATTTATTATTGAGGTCTATTATGTATTTTTGTGTATATTTGGATGTTTTGGTCCAAGGGGAGGAGCAGAGATATAAGCTGAAGTGAATTTGTGGAGAGTTGCAGGATGAATTCTTCCTCCTGTTTCCCAGACTCATAAGTTGTTTTCTATGATTGAGCTGTTAAGAGTAAGTGAGCTCGGGATCTTGTTTCTTGAAGTGTTTCTTAACAGAAAGATAACTAAACGGCATTAAGTCTAGATGGCATTATCATTGCCCTCATTCTCAAATATTATGAACAAAACTATGAATGATCAATTAGAGACTCTTGGGTAAATCAAATGTTTAGTTTGATTTATAAAATGAGAAAAAAAGAAACCATCGTCCATGTCATGTTGTTTAAACCTATGAAGTTCATATTATATAAAAAAGAAAATGTAATAAATAAAAAAAATATGTTATAAAAATGTAAACTAATTGTATAATTATATTATAATTAAGTTTTGGTAGTTTATGTAAGCAATAAGTTTGCTGTTTTGTGAATAACTAACGGCTGAAGTTGTTAGGCACGACGCGAAGCGGACTAACCCCTTCAGCCGTTACTTATTCATGATACAGCACTTGGACTTGATACAACACAATTTGGACTTCTCTGTGCACGCTCTTTTAGGAGATCCCCATAGACCTCCATTATATGACTGACAGACAAGACATTTTTTTTGACCTAAAAATATCAAAATTGAAAATACTGTGGAAACAAAGACACCAACATCTTGGATGCCCTTGAGGTAAGCTAAAACATATCAAAAATTCATTTCAAAGTGAACAATCCCTTTAATGTCCAATGTAAAATCTGTGTATAAGTCAAACAAGTGCTTTCAAGGATATCATGACGTTAAAACCCTAATCCACACACAGTAAACGGAAGGGAAACAGGCAGCAGGTCTGCTAAACTAAAAACAGTTTCTAAAAATCCAGGAGACATTAATACATATAGAATGCCAATTAAACTACTTCCTGCTTGCGTTCAAAGTCAAAAGAAGCAGAACAAATCCGACAACCGAACAGGAATTAGAGCAAGGTTGTAGATCAGTCAGGCCTTGAGCCAACAACTCCTCCGAATATCGGCTTGCTTCCAGCAATGTCAGAAAAGGGTTGAGTAATTACAAGCATAAGAGGAGTCTGTAAACCTGTGGTGCTTTCTGTCCACTAATGATTACAATGTAAGAGTACGAGCCAGGGGTTAGACAAGAGTTCACCATACAGTTCCTGTTAAAAAGTTGTTCTATAACAAAAATAAATATACAGTAAAAAAACAACAACCTTGTTTTAAATAAAAATGGGATGAATATATGGTATAATAATATAAATGTGTTGTTTATATACAATGATATGTGTTTTAATAGTTAAATATAATAAGAAATTATTAATAATTATCTGTAAATTGTTAAAGGAGTAGTGCACTTTAAAAAAAAAACTTTTGCTGATAATTTACTCACCCCCATGTCATCCAAGATATCCATGTCATTCTTTCTTCAGTCGAAAAGAAATTAAGGGTTTTGATGAAAACATTCCAGGACTTTTCTCCACATAATGGACTTTAAAGGAACCAAACGAGGTCCAAAATACAGTTTCAGTGCAAACTGCAATCTGTTCAAAGGGCTTTAAACGATTCCAGACGATGAATAAAGGTTTTATCAAGCGAAACGATCGCTCATTAAAAAAAAAAAAAGTTTAAGTATAATAAGATCAAATGCTTGCCTTGCTCTGTTCTGTGTGACTCTCCTGTTCGAACTCGTTCATCAAAATGAACAAATCTTTTTTTTTGTCATTTGGTTCATTCAACGAACGAAATGAACAAATTGACTCGGAAAACAATTTGTTCATTTTGATGAACGAGTTCGAACAGGAGAGTCACACAGAACAGAGCAAGGCGAGCATTTGAGCTTATAAAACTTAAACATTTTTTTTTTTTTTAAATGAGCGAGCGATTCATTGTCTGGAATCGTTTAAAGCCCTTTGAACAGTTTGCACTGAAACTGTCTTTTGGACCTTGAACCGTTTGGTTCCCAATGAAGTCCATTATATGGAGAAAATCCTGGAATATTTTCATCAAAAACCTTAATTCCTTAATTTCTTTTCAACTGAAGAAAGAATGACATGGATATCTTGGATGACATGGGGGTGAGTAAATTATAAGCAAAAGTTTTTTTTAGAAGTGAATGTTTGTAAATATATATGTATACATATTCTAACAGTTTAAACTGTTTCACAGATATGACTCAAAATGAGGTAAAGCTGAAGTTTACGTCAAAGACTCCGATGAAACGTCTCAATGCATGACATGGCTTAATGACCAAATAAAAGCAATAAAATCATTGCAATGTTTAATTTTATATTACCAGCAAAATCCCCATGCACAAATATTACCCAACATATCACTCAGCCCTACTGATCAGCAGAGATGTGAAATGGTGCCTGGCCAAGGAGGATTGAGTTATCTTATCTCTGTTCTGAAAAGTGTCACTGAGAAGTTTACGAGACTTTAAAGCACATAATAAATCAAGGAAGAGATATGAAGAACACTAATCAATCCGACAAGATTAAATCAATAAACAATCATGTCACCACCTCAAAATACCCCAAAATATCCCAGTCTAAGATTTACAACACCACAAATATATACACCACTGTGTATAATTATTTTGTATATATATATATATATATATATATATATATATATATATATATATACATATATACATATATATATGAAGAGTTCAGATGCAAAAGCCTCTAAATGCCATTTGAAATTTTCTTCTAAAATGATCATTTTTATCAAACTTGTATATTTAAGTTCAGTAATTTCACATAAATGGCAATTGCCAGTATACATATATACATACATATATATATATATATATATATAAAAAATACACACACGCATGTATATTTAAGAAAAAAATATTATTTATATATTAAATACTTATATTTATATATAATATAAATTATATATAAATCTATATACAGTATATACATGAAAATATTTCTTAAATAAATACAAGCATGTGTGTGTATTTACATATATATATATATATATATATATATATATATATATATATATATAAATAATAAATAATACACAGTGCACCCACATATATTACGTAAACACAAACTTTTATTTTGGATGCGATTAATCGTTTGACAGCCCTAATATATATATATATATATATATATATATACATATATATAAATTTAAGAAAAATGTGTTTCTACATAAAATATATTTATATACACACACATACAGTATATACATGCAAATATTTCTTAAATATATACATGCATGTGTGTGTATTTATTTATATAAATAACTATACACAGTACACACATTTATTATGTGAAAAAAACTAATTTTGGATGAGATGAATGTTCTCTTGTATTCACGTGCCCTGTGTAATTCTAATCAGCAGTGCTTGAAGGAGCTACGAGACACAGATCACATGCTCAGTAAATCCACTCTGTAATTCCTGTTATCCCGTCCAGGAATCAGACTCTGAGCACCGCGTCTCACTCCGGGATTAAGACACATAAATGACAGCACACCTCCCGCAGGCAAAACAAACAAAAAATCCGGCTTGCCAAGAGCTGGCAAAGTGACAGAATAAGTCGGAAACGAACCCGTTCCTATTGTGTAAATGAGCATGACCGTGCACCAGAATGTGATTATGCGTAATTGTGTGTTAGTGTGTACCACTTACTAGGGCAATCTATCTCATCGCTTTTGTCCTCACAGATCGTCCAACCATCGCACTGCCAGGACAGGGGGATGCACTGCAGTTTTCCACTCTGGCAGGCAAACTGGTCAGGACCGCAGCGCTGCTCTGAAAAACAGTAGACAATACACTCAAACAAACTCCTGCAGCCGGGCCTCCATTACGAGTGATTACAAATGAACATGCTTTATTATACAACACTAAAAGTCTCTTGAGTGCTGTTTGCAAAGCCACATTTAGATGACGAGGCCATTAAAGATAGTGTCCGTATCAGGCTAAGCCAGATATCAAAGAAAAACAGTAGAAAACCCTGGAGACAGATTGCAGCTTACCTGGCAGCTGTCTGGCCCGAGCGACCCGTGGACCTGCAGGGGGGAGAGGCAGATTTACTCATTTAAAGGGGCTGATTTCAGCAATATAACATCTCCTAATCTCTTAAAGTCACGAGAGACAGTCTGTCTCTCGGTTATCAGGGTATAAATACCAATAGATAGTAGAGGTTAAGCAGATCGTTGTTGATCCGTATGGACCAGCCCCCATGTTTCAGCACCTCGGCACACATCTGATTCGCGGATTCATTTCAAATTTAACCGCCATAGTTTGAATGTTTATGATTTGCACGTGTTTTGTCTTGCTGGTTTACACCGATTTTAAACCATTCCAGCAATAGAAGAGGCAAAAGAGAATTGAATTTGGTATTCACACACTGTTAATCTGTTGTCAAGTTTTCTTGTTAAAGGGATAGTTCATTTTGAAATAAATTTTTGGTAAGTTTTAGCTTACCTCTAGGGCATCCAAGATGTAGGCGTCTTTGTTTCCGCAGTAGTTTCTATTTTGATATTTTTAGGTCAAACTGTTCGTGTTTATCAGTGATATAATGCAGGTCTATGGTCACCACCTCAAAAAACATGCACAGAGAAGTCCAAATTAAACATGATTTAATGACTCATAAATTTAAGTACACGCTGATGGCCTAAGACACAAAATGAGCGGTTTGTGTGAGAAAACGAACAGTATTTATATCATTTTTACCTCTTGTTACCACATCCACAAAGCGCCCGCAACCTCAGATCACTTGGACGTGGCTGTGGTTACAGCAGGTAAAAACTATATAAATACTGTTCGTTTTCTCACACAAACCGCTCGTTTCGTGTCTTAGGCCATCACTGTGTACTTACATTTATGAGTCATTAAAGCATGTTTAATTTGGACTTCTCTGTGCATGCTCTTTGAGGTGGTGACCATAGACCTCCATTATATGACTAACAGACAAGAACAGTTTGACCCAAAAATAGCTAAATTGAAAATACTGCGGAAACAAAGACCCCTACATCTTGGATGCACTAGAGGTAAGCTAAAACTTACCAGAAATTTATTTCAAAGTGAACTATCCCTTTAACGAGAAAACTTGACTACAGATTAACAGTGTGTGCATACCAAATTCAATTCTCTTTTGCCTCTTCTATTGCTGGAATGGTTTAAAATCTGTGTAAACCAGCAAGACAAAACACGTGCAAATTATAAACATTTCTGTACCTGAATACTACAGTTAGACCGTTACAGTTTACAGTTACAGTTTATTTGTAACATTGTTAGGCTATATTGCATATATGCTTGTAATTCGTGTATTTGTTCTTATTTTTTACTGACTGATCACTTGCCTTTAATAATGTTTGAACTTTTGAGGCTAGTAGTTTTTGCAGTGGTGTATTGATGTAGCCCTACTTAAAGTGTGCTTTAAGTAATAAATGGAAAACAAATTGATCCCCCCCCCAAAAAAAACAAAACAAAAAACAAAACAAAAAACAAAACGTGATTTTTGTGATCCGTTGAACCACTAATAGATAGTACAAAAACATCTGCATTTGCAAACAAAAGTCAATGTAAGTGACCAGAAATCTCATGAATTTATTGTTGTGAGCATTTACCTATAATTTCCTTTTAAAAAAGAAGCAGCAAAGCTATTTTTGGACAAGAAAAATAAAAAAAAGTATTATATTTTTGTAAAACAAATTAAATAAATATATATTCGTTTACATACCGGTATGTATAATAATGAATGCACATTTATACAAAATTAACTAACATGTGTATGATGTATAATACACACATTTATATAACAATGTATATTTATAATAGTAGTAATAATTATTCATATAATAAATATCAAAATAATAAATAACAAATTATTTGACATATATACATATATATATCTAAAACAATAAACACACACACACACAGTATATATATATATATATATATATATTTCAATATTTAATTATTTAATTATTTTGACATGTAATCAAAAAAAATTATATATACATACTTAGAAGACAACTGTCTAATTTGAGGTAATTTAATACGATAATTTCTGTTATCTGACGTTAGCAAACACCCAATTAACCAGATCCCTAGTCTACTAAAATGATCTCTTCAGAAACAACAAACTAATTATACAGTTTTTACAAAGAGCTTCTTGGGACGTCCAGACATTTAGACGTTCAATCAATCACCTGTCCAACCCTTGAGTCTAAAGTTATCCCTAAACAAACACACTGACATTGAGATGGCTGACTTCAGAAGACCATTGTGCTCTTTACTATGGATTACCAGGGCCAGATTTTCAGCACATTATCTGCTGTGCAGACAGTAAAACCTTGGAAACAGTTGAACAGCAGTTCGACAGCTAAAAAAACTACCAAGTCATTAAGTTCCACTGACCACCTAAATATTACGAATAATCAATTTAGTTGACAAATAGATACGTTTTCAGTATCAAATATATGTATTTGTACGAGGTAATACACATGGTTCAGAGCCTGTCCTACTTTGAGTATTTTGAACGTGAAGCAACTGAAAACCCGAAAAACACCAATTTGAGTTTGTTTTGCAATAAACAGTATTCCAAGTGTTAACTTCTGACTCCTTTAACGTTAACATGGCGATCAAGTGTAATATTTTGGACTTTAAGAAGAGTGCAGACTGCGATCAAACACCAGATGTGGGTTTCTGTGCGATTCAGTACAAAGACCACCATAACCTGCCACGAAACAAGAGAAGACTGAACATGTAACCAAGGCTTCCCCATGGAAATGAAATGCAGAAAAGCATAACAGGCCATTAACCTAAATACTGTCCTATTTATTTGATCCACTGGGTTTCCATGCACCACCTTATAGGATGAATAAACCTTTCATCTAACAGAGCAACATCTGACCAGACAAGCCATCACTTAGATGTGTTGGCTATTGTATAATAAAGTGTTATTGATAAAAAAACCAACTCCCCTATGCAGAAAATGAATGGGATTTTTTTCTCCCAGAAACCGTCTTTAGCACACCACTGGAATAGACTAGTAAAGAGCACTAGTAAAACAAGAATCGGTACCAACAATAAACATAGGCTACTAGTCAGAAGTAAATAGTTAGCAAATGGCAGTATTTTGTTTCAGTAACTATGGAATAGTTACATGTAAGTGTTGGGATAGTGAATAGATGCAAGAGAATATGTAAATAATTAATGAATAAAGCAGGCACTCGTGACAAATACTAGCCTTTTTATTACAATAATGTGTAAATTTAATAATTACTCTAATAAACAGTCATTAAGTGGAACTAAAATGATCACAGTGCGTTAGTGACTACTGGATTGGGTAGTAAAACACTATAACAAACAGATACTATGCAGTTTTAAAGAATACATGTTAAAACAGCTTGCCACATGGTGTGTGATAAATACGCTTAAAGCTAGTAACAGATACTGTGCAGTTTTAAGGAATACTGTTAAAAGAGTTATGTCATAAAAAGGCGTGTAACGTTAGCAGAAAAATATAACTCATAAGAATAAATTATAACATAGTAGTTAGTTAAAGGCCCTGACGGCCTGCGCGAGACTGGCGAATGTTAAAGCGCTGCGAGTCTTTAACGTTACCAGCCCAGACTGCAGCAAACACCATTTTAGCAAATGCATTAAATAAAGCAACACCTTTAACGTTACCTGTCCGTGGCGGATCTGTTGTTGTCAGAATGAAGAGGAGAAGCACAAAACCACCGCTGTCAGCCTTCGGCAACATTTATCCTCCATTCATAGTATCTTACACCAGAGAAAATGTGCAAGAGAAAATGCACTTAAAGCACCAGTCCCGACGTTGATAAATAAATGATCGAGCGACTGATTCTGCTCGCTGCGTATATTCCGTCGATAAGAAATGAGTTTCGATACTCGAATGTGTTTATTTCAGTTGGCTATGGTCGGGATATAGTATCATATTCCATGGCTGTTTCATCTGACTCTGTAAACGGGCTTAGGAAGGCTATAAAACAAGATGGCTCCGCCACCGTCCCATCAAAACAATCCCAACCATGTTCTCCAGCCTACAGCCGGGAAGAGGAGGCGCATAATCATCTCCTCATTTTAACACATGCATGACCTTTCCTTTAGGTTTCACACCGATTTTTCGTGGATTTCTTTACCTTTAAACATATTTTTTTTTTTTATAAATATATATTCAGAAGTTTTGGAGTCAATAAAAAATAAATTAACTTTTATTCAAGAATGCATTCAATTGATTAGAAATTATAGTAAAGATAGTTAAGTTACAAAAGATTTATATTTCATATGTTATTTTAACTTTCCACTCATTGGAGAATCCTGAAAAAATGTATCATGGTTAATTTCCACTAAACAACATTGTCATTGATGAGAATGTCTCTTGAACAGCAAATCAGCAGGATCACGTGACACTGAAGGCCGGGATTAAAACGGCTACAAATTTAGCTTTGCATCACAGGAAAAAAAAACAACCTTATATTCAAATAGAAAATAGTTCATTAAAATTGTAATGATATTTCACAATATAACTTTTTTTATGCTGTATTGTTGATTAAATAAATGCAGTCTTCGTGATTGATCTATTTTGCTTTAATGTCTATATACAGAGAAGCTGAGATTGGTGAGGATTTTGTGGAGCCTTCGAGTCTTTCTTCACACCGTTCCTCTAAAATAGAAGTTCTCCACGGACACTTAATGCCCTGTTCTTGTTAGCTGTGAAAGGATATCTACAAAAGACATGATTCTCTCTTCTGTCAAACACTGACGTGTAATTCAGTAAAAACTGTATGAGAATAAGGAGTCTGTCTCAACATCATAAAACAGGTGAGTCCTGCCTTAATGAGGCTCATTTGCAGTCTGTCATGTAATATATGAAGCGTTTCCTCACGGCTTTAAACATATCAGTCTGATTTAAGGAACACTGGCAGTTCCCAGACAAATCAGAAGCTTCAGGTAATAAAATGGTGCTTTGCCACCTTTGCGTGGTGTGAAAGGGTATGTACAAAAACACATGATTTCCTTTCTTCTGCTGAACACTGCAATCACAGAGATTAAGGGAGTCTGTCTCGATATATTGTGTACGAGTCCTGCCTCCAACCCAAAGATGGGTTCAACAAATGGAGCATGTAAAATAAGGACGGTGAAATGATATAAAGGCACATTAAACTGTAGAACTCCTCTTTATTGTGCGCCAGAGACCGTGCAAGTCTTCAACATCATAAAAGATGGACAAAATACAGGAGCACTGAAAACAAATCAAGACTAGTAAAGTTCTGGAGCACTGGTGGATCAAATGAAAGTCTGATTCACGCAAGAATCACTTGATGTGGATGATGCTGAAAAACAACATTTAATTTGCTAGCTAAATTAAAATAAAATAAAAAGCAAAAAAAAACAAACAAACATAAAACTACATGTTGTAAGTTGCAGACAATCTAAAAAATAAGATATCTGAAACAGCGATGATTAATTCAGATTCACAGTTTTTTTTAAAACAAAGAAGTAATTAAAAAAAATAAAAATAAATATGTAACCCCACCCATGTCTTTGTGAAGTGTTTAATTTCAAAAGTAATCTGAGGCTTTCCTCCGTTTGGGCAGCTGTAGGAGGTTGTCTGTGATGGAGGCCGGGTCCTGGGCGGCCGGTGTTATGGCTTTTCCGGGTGTTGGTGTAATGGAGGAAGTGGTCAGGCCTCCGAGAGGAGTCTTCGAGCCGACGCCTCTGTGCGCAGGTGATGGGGTGTAGCTGGCCCTCAGGGCTTTATCTGTGTATTTACTGGACGACTTGTTCACTAGACGTTGGAGGGCGGGAGACAGTGCAGCGGGGCTCAGTCCCTTCGGAGTGAGGCTAGAAAAGAGTACGGAAGCCAATGAAGACCAAATTAAGCAATTATGTTACAAACCAAGTAGGAAGTTGAGTTAGAACCTTGCACACAGAGTTCAAAATGTTCATGTGCGTTTTTTTTTTCGTATTCGGTGGCTCTGAATGGTCAAAATACCTCTCAAAATGCTTGCTTCGAATTTTTTATGATGGACAAAAGTTTCAGAGGCAGTGTGTAAACATGATTGATGCAACGTGGGTCGTATTTATTTTTTAACGTGCGAAAATTTCGGACGAGAATTTCGGACTACGTGTGCAAGCACCTTAAAGGAGTAGTTCACTTTTGCTGATAATTTACTCACCTCCATGTCATCCAAGATGTCTGTGTCTTTCTTTCTTCAGTTGAAAAGAAATTAAGGTTTTTGATGAAAACATTCCAGGATTTTCTCCATATAATGTACTTCAATGGAAACCAAACGGTTCAAGGTCCAAATGAGAGTTTCAGTGCAGCTTCTAAGGGCTTTAAACGACACCAGACTATGAATAAGTGTCTTATCTAGGACCCTTCGAGTCATGACTCAAAAAAAGTTTTGTTCATTTTGATGAACGAGTTTGAACAGGAGTGTCACGAGCGCTCATCACAGAACAGAGCAAGGCAAGCATTTGCGCTTATAAAACTTAAACTTTTTTATTTGTTTTTTAAATGAGCGATCGTTTCGCATGATAAGACCCTTATTCATCGCCTGGTGTCGTTTAACTCTTTCCCCGCCAGCGTTTTAAAAAAAAGTTGCCAGCCACCGCCAGGGTTTTTGACGATTTTCGCTAAATTTTAATGCCCCGCTGAATATTTTCTTCCATGAATATATGAAGATGATATATATAAAAATAAAGATCTGAGCCTCTGCTTTTAGGCAAAAAAAACTTTTTTATTTTATCTTCATTTGTTCTTTTTTTATTGCCTCTTGAACAGAGGTAGGTTTTGTCAAAAACACAACATTTTGGACAAAAAACTGAGAAAAAGGTATTTTTATCAAACAAGTGCATTTAAAAGCAGAATACATTCAGATGTTGTTTCCTTCATATATAAAACTTTCCAAAATAAATTAAAAACATAAATAAATGTAAAATATATCAAATTTCCCAGGATGTAAGGGAAATGTAACTTTTGCAATAAAACTTCTGCCTCTGCCTCTCTGTGTTCTACCTGTGAATAATGAATAATTGGAATTACAATAAAAAGGCCTAGACACACACACACACACACACACACACACACACACACACACACACACACACACACAAATACATATTACAATGTGGTAAATGTGCACAAAGAGAGAAATAATTTGACAATTACACCTTCATATTTAGACAGCCACACATAAATGCCTGCACACACACATAAATATTATAGAGTCATATTACAAGTATTATACGATCTATCTGCGGCACGTCCATGGCTAGAACTTTCTGTGACAAGTTGACAACATGTGCATCTCTCTCACTGACTACTTCGTCCCGATCAGATTCAGAATGATCAAATAAAGAGTGATCGGACTCCGAGTCCATTAACCTCCAGTACTTCAGCCATATAACTCTGCATTGTCTGTCTGATACATTCTCACTACTCCACTGTTTGAGACGATTGCAATCTGTTTCTCTGATCAAAGAGTTGCGCACTCATTCAGGACATGCTCGCGGGTCTTCCTTACCGTATACCACCTAAAACACGGATACCCGGAAAATTCCGTGTTTGGCGGTGATGCGTTTTTTCATTAAACCCGGAAAATTCCGTGTTTGGCGGGGAAAGAGTTAAAGCCCTTTGAAGCTGCACTGAAACTCACTTGACCTTGAACCGTTTGGTTCCCATGTAAGTCCATTATATGGAGAAAAATCCTGGAATGTTTTCATCAAAAACCTTCATTTCTTTTCGACTGAAGAAAGAAAGACATGGACATCTTGGATGACATTGGGGTGAGTAAATTATCAGCAAAATTTTTTTTTAAAAGTGAACTACTCCTTTAAAACTGGCAATTCTGATGACTCTTTTCAAGGAAGTTTTGAATCAGTTCTTTCCTTTGGGAGACAATAACTCAATAACTACAAAATACACTTTTGGCGCTTTTCCATTACCAGTACCGACTTGACTCAGCTCGCTTTTTGCTCCGTTTTCTATTGCAGACAGTACCGACACAAATAGTACCCGGTCGTCATAGCGACGCCTTTCGTTCCTCGTTGCCAGATCAAGCTCTCGCTGGATCCTCTCTTCGGCAACCAAACACAGGAAAGTCTGCACCTCCTCGATTGACCACGGCGTATTTTTTCCGAGTTGGTATAATAATAGTAGTAAGTTCAGTAACTATCTCTCGCCATACTATTTAAAAGTGGTGGGGTTATTCTGGATACTCCATCTGGCGTGTGCAATGATGACGCAGTGAATAATGACGGTTCTTTCTGACCAATCAGTCGTCGGCATTGTTTTCACGTCACATTTTGGTATCGCCTCAGCTCGCACCAGCTCGCTCAGAACCTTGCCGGAGGCGATACAAAAAAAAGTACCGAAAGCAGGTACAGGTACAACCAGTGTTGTAGTACTCGAGACTCGGACTCGTCTCGGACTCGGTCTCGAGACCATATTTTAATGGTCTTGGTCTCGTCATGGACTCGTGTCCATTTGGACTCGGAATTGACTCGTACTCGAACATTTTTTTTTTTAGGACTCGGAATTATTCCCGAGTCCACTCGAGTTCAATTAAAAATATTTTTCATGATTATTAATGTATGTTAATCAAATATTTCTTTAAATTGATTGACACGCCCAGTGATTGGTGATTTTCTAGTGCGCAACTGCGCATGACAAATTGTAATAAAATTACTTTTAACACCACCTACTAAATTTTTACCCTAAACTGATCATATTTTTTAAACTAAGTAAATTCAGTAAAAAAAAAAAAAAAAAAAAAGGATTTCTCTAAGTAAATAAAAGTAAATTAGGTAATCAACCCTCACTGGTCTCGGTCTCGACTCGGACTCGACCGTCTCTGGTCTCGGACTCGACTCTCTATGGACTCGGTCTTGACTCGGACTCGACTCTCTCTGGTCTCGGTGTCGACTCGGACTCGAGTGAGGTGGTCTCGACTACAACACTGGGTACAACTTTAACACAGTGGAAAACCAAACAAAGGCGAGCCGAGGCGAGTTGAGCTGGTACTACCTT